ATATATAATGCATATGGATATCATTTTTCAAACAGCTTTCATTTGGCCCCCAAAGCACAGCCTTAAACAAAATGGGCACGGCTGACCTGTAAAACTGTGGTGAAAGTGTTGACTGTTTCCCAGAAGTCATAGTTTCATTTTGATTTGCATGTTTTTGAGAAAGCAAAACGGCTTCAGCATTGTACAGATCTCAGTGGGCTTCCAGAGTGATTGAATGTTTTTTAATGGCAACCTCTTCAAATGCAGTTTGGTGTCACCATGAGGCAGCACTATGGTAGGGCTCCCATGGTTACCACGAGAATTTAGTGTCCATTATGTAACCTGGGCAGGGCTCTAATGCCAGTGTCCTCAGGGCTGGACCCGGCCACCAAACAGGGCTCCTTCTCAGTGGGGAGTTAAATGTGGGTTTGGTTGGTGGAACGTTACATGTGGCTCTTACTGCTCATCAAGAAACATCTCGACCTCCTTTCCAGGAGGTGCGGGCACTGAGGAGGGTCATTTGGAATATTAATGTTGCAATTGTCTGCCAACTATGAATATTTGCATCGAAAATTAAACACTGTTTTGATGTTTTTAAATGAAGAATAATATAATCTATACTGGTTTTTAGTTGTTTTAGAGCATAAAGCAATAATAAAATGGTAGTTTGCTTTGTAGTCAAGTTGTTCAAAGTCATAAAAATAATGTAAGTGAAACTGAAGATCTAAGAATATTATGGGTAGCTGAAGGGGCTTTTTAAAAAAATTTTAACCATGTTTGGTCTATTTTCAAAGGTGTCTTATTCCATGGATTGTCTTTGTAATATTTTTCTTACTAAATCTATAATAGCCTCCTCCTTTCCAGCTTGACTACAACTATACTACAAGAATGTATCCCTCAGTTTACCTAAGATTTGTCACCATCCACACGAATAGAAATTTGTAACAGTTGGCATGCAGGTGGAGAGCAGTCCCAAAGTGCCTACTGTGTGCTGGCCTTTGTGAAAGGTTATGGGTGGTAAGAGAAGCATGTGCCCTGATACCAAGCTGTTCAAAATGGAATTGGCAGTGCCATTTAGATGTGCAGAAAAGTTCTTAGGAAGAGGTTTGATGCAACTTGTTCTCATGTGCAGATAAAATGCATCAGTCCCAGGGGTACTGGCAACAAAGCTATGATGGATTTGGACTTGGAAAGACACGCACGGAATTCACAGCGAGGGACGCAGTGGATGTGGGAGGGAGAGAGCGGAGGCCTGGCCCCAGAACTCCTTTGATAACAGGCCAGATGATGAACGAATGACCTTTCTAATTAGAATGCAGGAATTTTGTGCAATGCAACATTTCACACCTGAATAACATATATGCTGCTAATCTACTAGCAGTTAATTAAAAAAAATAACTCACATGCAACCCCACCTGTTTTCTTTGTGCTGGGGGGCAAGAGCCATTTGCTTATGAGTTATTTTGCTCAACTATATTATGAACAAATCAGAAAATTTAAAATCCATGTAAAGAAAGAGTGGCTTTTGTGTAGATTTTATCTGTATAAGTAGATGAGTTTCACACTTGATCAATCTTTGTTTTATATTTTATTAAGTTTATAAGTGTTTTAAAAGAGAAAACCAATTTTGCAAGAATCCACCAGCAATGTCAAATTCATAGTTTGGAGCACTAATATCAAAGGTTGTGAAGTCATTTAAGATACAAACCTGCTTATGGACTAAAGAGTGCATAGAACACCACCTGCATTTGTTGTAAGCCTCCCTCTGAGGCTATTAAAAGGCTGCAGGGTTAATTTATAAGGAAATTTCATCGTTTGACGAGGAAAATCATCATTTTAAAATTTGTTGGGATCTACCTTGACTCTTGTTTTTAGGAACATATCATTTCAATTAGATAATGATCATGTAGATGTTTCCTCCACAAATTGATTATTATGGGTAAAATACTAAAACAAATATACAATTAGCTTGATTAAAAACAATATATGGAAGAACGTTTGGAGAATTTAAATACACTTATAGGTGCACAGATGGACCAACTGGAAGATATCATTATCCATATAAATTCCTTCTTCCTCATCTTCCTTGGTAAAGGGCAGAGGGAAATGCTTTATATTCTTTTAAAATATTTATTCTTTAATAAATACTCTTTATTTACTAATAACTCTTTTGAACTACCAGTAATAATCACTGTAATCTTGGCACTTTTGCTGGTGTTAACTGACCTCTCAATATTCTTCGAGCTTTTATTGTTCGCAGGGTGGGCTGGCATTTTCTCAACCGAGAACGAACGAGGAAGGTCGTTTATGTCACAAAGAGGAGCCCCAATGGTGTGAGTCCAGAGCCCCTGGAGGGACAGCTCTGCTTAAATCGTACTGCAATCTGATGACCCGAGACCTGTGACTAAACTGCACGCTGCGTAGGGACAGTCGGAGCGCAGAGTTCACCTAGTTACGGGACAATGCGTTTATTCATGAAAGGCTTGAAGGAAAAGAATCCACAAGAAAGGCTACGCAGGCGTGGCCACCCCCGCGCAAGGGGCAGGAGCGAGTGCCAGGCGGCTGCCCCTGGGGGTTTGTATGTAAATCTGTGGCTGAACGTTTCCGTAGGAAACGTTTCCGAAGGAAAAGCCGCCGAGTGCCCTTGCGCTGAGAGTAACCCAAGTGGACTCCGGAATTAATTGGGGGGCATGCTTAACAAATGTGACCACTAATCAGTAAACGCCTCCTCAACACGTTCCTTTTCCGTTGTCACGCTTTTTCTGTTTAACTTGTCCAGGAAATGTGTGCCTTCCACCAAGTACTTGGAGAAAAGAAGAACGAAAAACGGAAGTTTGATCCCAGAAAAGGCTTAGTGAAAACTGTTGTTTGCATCCTGATTTAACAAACTCAGGGAACAAATATTTGATGTTTTCCTCCCCGCGCAGGTACGGAGGTTTAATTTCAAGTTAAATGTACATTTGTTTGTAGCTGTAAAGTCACTTTAACGACTCCAAAAAGGCAGCTTAGGAAATATAAAGGACAAACAGAAACATTTTGTGGTAAAGGAATGAGGAGTGTACACTCGGAAGAGAAACGCGCCCTCTCCTACCCCATGGGCAGCCGTCGAGACGCTCTGCGCGGGTTGGGAGCCGCACCGGGCGCCGCACACACCCGCGGCTTCCAGGGAAGTTACCAGTGTTGGGCGTGGCTGCCCAGAGCGACAACCAGGAGGCTGCAGCAGACCGGACTACGTAGCTCAGTCTTCTCCTTTGCTACGTCGCCCCCCCCTTACCCCAAATACAACGCAAAACTGCCCCGGCCCCCAGGTAAGGTAAGAGCCCTGGGGTTGTTTAATCCTTCCCCAAGTTTAGGGGTTCTCATCTGGAGGGCCTGGGCAGATGCCCCGGACGCCCCTCGCTCGGACACCTATCCCTCGTGGAAAGCCTGGGTCCTGGTTGCGGCAGGAGAGCCTCTCTGGGTTCCGGGGAGCCCTGCCCAGCTGGATGTGAACACAAACATGTCCTTTCCCACTGTGGGGCATTTGGATGGGAGCGAGGAAAAACATAGACTAAAGAAGTCTCCGGAGCAAACTTCACAATGAAAACAACCGAAAACTGGTCGGAGAGAAGAAAATGTGCAGGGCGAGGACCAGTCCCGAGCCTGGTGCACTCTGGCCCCCCCACCCCCACCCCCCAGCCCTTCCTCAGCGCCTCGGCGGCACCCTCGTGCGCACCTAGGGCTTTGGGGACAGACTTGCCCTTCGCCAAAGCTGGGCTTTGGCGCGCGTGCTCCACTCCTGGGAAGGTGACCTAGTTGTGGGAGTCCTGGCAGCTGGTCCCACCGCAAGACAGCAGGCCCGCCGCCCTCACTCCAACCCCGCGGGCGGCGGTGGTCCCAGCCCAAGCGTGCGGACTGGCACGCGGACACCTGCATCTCTGTGCGCTCTGGCGCTCCAGCTTCCAAACTGGTGGCAGCTCCTTGTTTTTAGCGCCCTTTGGGCGGCACTTTTCCCTCCAGTATCAACTGTCTGGATTCAAGGCCGGGAACAGAGGGGGCGGGGTCGCCTGAGAAATTCACAGGTGACTGGTCGGGTGGACGGGGCTTTGGGGCCATGGTCTCAGTTTTTCTCTTTGGAGCCCTAGTCTGCCCTTTCCATCCTCGCACCTCCCCCAGGCAAACTGGGTCGCGCACCCGAAGCTCCGCAGAGGTGGGTGTCGGAAAGGAGGGCCGGATGGACTGGCTTTCTAAACCTCAGTGTATTGAAAGTGCTGTACGTGGCTTTACACTCAGACCAAACAAACCTCCGAGTTCGAACTCTCCTGGGTGGGGGGTGGTTCAGGGCACAGCTCGGTGGGAGCTGCTGGCCCACCACCAGGAGCGCTCCCCGGCTCGGACGAGGGACAGGCAGGCGTCTCTTGCCCAGCGGAGCACAGCTGGAGCAGGTGCTGTCCTGCGGGTTCAAAATCCGGAACAGCAGGCACAGCTGCGACGACACCCGGCACAGCCACAGGCGTCCCCCTGCCCCCCTGCCCCGGCCCAGGTGCACACTGTCCGCTGAGGTGCTTTGAGCGTGGGGGCCTGCGCCGCCAGGCTGAGTCGAGGTGGGGCGCGCTACGTGGGCACAGACCGAGGCGGCGTGGAGAGAGCTCGCTCCGCCAGTGGGCGTCTTCTGCCGTCGCCACCGCCTCCACGGGCAGCGGCATTGCGGCGCTTTTCTCCGCTGCTTTGGAGCAGTGGCCGCGGCTCAGCCGCCGGAGCGCGCACAAACCACGCCACGCTTGCAGGCAGCGACTGTGCAGCCCCGCTCCCCGACCGGGAGCACGCCGATTGTGTGCGCCAGCCAGCAGGCAGACGCCGCCCCCCAGGACTCGCTGTGGCCCCGGGTCCCCCGCACCCAAAGCGGCACACGATGTGAAGATTGGGCTGGCGAGGGGCGCGGAAGACGGCAGAGAAGCTGGGGCGGACGCTCGGCTGACCAGCAGAGGAGGGCAGGTCCTGTGGGGGCGGAGCCCGCCGAGGTCGGGCGGAGGAGGAAGGCCATGGCCAGCCCAGAAGAGCCGCTCGCTCCCCGCCCCCAAGCCCCCCTGCCCACAGCCGGGGGCCAGCCCTGCTCCGGCCACGGCAAACTCCGCCCGGAGCCCCGGCGTAGCACAGCTGGCGGGGGGAGCGTGGCGGGCCCGGGCCCAGCCCCCGAGCGGCCTGGCTGTGGCCCGGCCGAGCGCGCCGCGCCCTCACGCCCGCCCCCCTCCTGCGCAGGCCGCGCCAGCCCCGCAGGGGGCCCGGGCGCCCAGACTGCGCGAGGCAGCAGCGGCAGCGGCTGCGGCTGGGTCCCGGCCCGCGCTCTCTTCACGCTTGCCTTGTCCTCCTCTGTCCCCTCCCCCTCTCCATCTTCCTTTTACTTCTGGTCGCCGCCCCCGCTGCCCCCTCCTTCTCTGGTCCCCTCCTCATTTGCCTTCCACCTCCCTGTGCGACTCCCAGGAAGGCAGGGCGCAGCGGCGGCTCGAGGTGGTGGTGGCGATGCTGGTGGCGGCGGCGGAGGACAAGAGGCGGCTCCCTTGAGCGTCCCCCCCAGCACAAGTCCGCACGGCGGCGGTCGCAGCGCCGGCGGGCGGCGGCGGCTCTTTCTCTCCCCTGCGCTCCTGGGTTGGCTGCTTCCAGCCCGCGCCGGGCCCCGGCCGCCGCCGCCTCCCCGGCTCCCTCTGTGCCCGGTTGCCCGCCACACGGGCTTCTCCGGCTCTCCAGGCGCCGGCGTGCACGGCTCCGGCCCCGGTCTCGGCTCCAGCTCAGGAGGCGGCCGGACTTCGCCGCGGCCCCGAGACGCCGGCTTTGCCCCAGCCGCTGCGGCCCGGCTGCTGCTCGGCTCCGACATGGAAGATGGACCTTCTAATAACACGAGCTGCTTCCGAAGGCTGACGGAGTGTTTCCTGAGCCCCAGTGAGTGCCTGCTCTGCATTCCCTACGGTCGGGGCGGGCAGGGCGTGGAAGTCCAGGCGCGTGGCGCCCAGCGGGCTTCTCTCGAGGGGCGCAGGCTGGGGCACAGCGGCAGCGGACACCGGGGTTTCCCAGGCTCAGCGCGAGTGCGGGTGAGGGGTGGCCCGGAGGACTCCGGGCGTTCAGAACCGGTCCTGCCAGCAGCCGCGGGCTGCCCTGTGCTGTTTCCGTCTGCACTTCCCCGGCACGTCTCCATACTCCCAACTCTGAGCACGCATCCCAGGCTCCTTGCACTTTAGCCTGGGATCACTTGGCTGCAGGAGCAAATGCGCTTCTTTCCACTGGGGGGGGGGGGGTCCTGCCTGCTGAGACCCCTGGCTGGGAGAGGGCCCGCCAGGGTCCCGAATCCCTCTCTCCCAAAGACGAAGGCACTCGTGGTCCCCCGGGTTTCAGTGTCTGTGTTCCGGTCGCTGTCCCCCGGTCCCCACCCCATGACCCTGTTCCAGAGGTAGGACTAGCCGGGTGGAAACGGCGGGCCTCTGCAAAGAGGGCGCACCCCACCCAACCCAGGCTCCACTTTGTAGATCCTGGGGGACAGCTGGTGCTCAGACTGGCAAAGGCAAGGACAATGGGCGTCAGGGCGGAGGAGAGAGGGGCCACCAGTTCTGAGCCCCGGGTCGCGCCCCTCATCCGACCACGGCCAGGCCGCCCCCCAGCCCCTGGCAGGAGGCAGGGAGCGTTACAGCAGGGGCGGCAGAAGGCGTGTCATGGGGGCGGGAGCGGGGCCAGGCAGAGCAGAGCAATCGAGGCAAAGGTTCTCTAGAACGCAGGGAGCGGGAGATGTCCGGAGAGGAGGCGGCTGGTGCTCACGGGAGGGGGCTGCCTTTGTCGATGGAGGGCGAGCAAGGTGAGGACCGGAGCTGCCGGACCGCCGGGGCTGCGGGGCACCGGCTACTCGGGCGCCAGCTGGTCGGGCGCGGCTCCTCGCAGCCCTAAGCACGGGCGCGGGCGCCACCGTCCACCGCGTGCGCACCGAGCCTTTGTCTGCGCCGAGCAGGGGAACCGCGTTTCCGCGGCGCCTGCTCCCGGCAGACTCTTTCAGGGTTGGGTTGCAGTTTCGTCTTCCTGCTCCCAGTCCAGGCCTCCTCGCAGCCAGGGTCCAGCCCCTCCTTTCGACTGGAACTAGTCCGGGTGGCTTGGGTGGCTTCGGGGTGTAGCCCTGGGAAAGTGTGAGCGCGGGCTGACCGGCTGGCTGCCCGCACCCCCACACGATCCTTCCTGCGGTGGGCTCCAGTGCACCTCGTGGCCAGGCGGCCTAGCTCACACTCCTGCGTGGGTGCATCCCGGCAGTCTCTGCTGCTGCTGGCTCCCTGACCCGGTCCTGGCGGCTGCCGGTATGGGCCTAGGTCTGGCAGCTGACCCCCCCATGCTGTAGTCCCCCTCTATTCTGAGGGGCACAGTCCCCATCTGCCCACCTGCAGGGGTGGGCGTTTCAGAGGCTGCAGTTGAGGAGGGATATGGTCAGGCGTGGACACCTGCACCTAACTAGACAGAGCCCACGTGGCTGTGGATGGAAGTGGGGAGAGCAGGGGCTCTGGCCAGATCTGACAGGCATGGGGCAGGCCAGGCTGGGCCTTCCTTCTCCGCTTGTTCCTTCCTTCTTTAAAAAAAATAAATTCGTACTTTTTACAGTCTCCAGGTAGTGGGGGGGGGGGGATGAAAGCTGCCACATCTTGCCAGTGACATCGTCAAGATGGGGTGACGTTTTGGGGCAGGGGTGGCAGCGAGGAGGGGGTCATTGGGACGAAGCGGGCTTTCCCGAGACCAGGCAGCTTCTCTTTGTGCCTTGTTGCTGCTTGTTTGGGTGTTTGTGGCTGGCACGTCGGGAGGTGTGTTGTCAGGCAGAGTGAAGGGGAGCAGGTCAGTGGGATGAATTCGTCCCCAGGGACTCCCCCGCAGGCTTTGCCTCGGGAAGGACCGAGGACCTGGGGCAGACGGGTCACCCGAAGGGGCCCCTTCTGCAGAGTTCCCACCGGGAAAAGGAAACCCAGCGGTCGTACATTCAGGAGGTGTGGTGCTTTGATTTGTTTTTTTCTTTCCCCTAACCAAGTCAGCAAGAGGAGGGTACTTGGTGTTGGACTAGGAAGGTGGACGACAGAAATCCTGCCGGGGACATTGCCGAGGTAGTAAGTGTAAAGGCCTTTAGGGAAGGTCTGTTATTTGAGCACCTGGAGGAAGGTTGGCGGTGGCTGCACGGATACTTGAAGGACAGCAGCCAGTTTCTGCCGGGACGCCCTCCCGTGCACGGTGGCATCTTTGTCCTGCCTGCAGCCGTGTGGCCAGCCGCCTTTGTCTGGACTGCTGAAGCGCCCAGTACTTGGGAGACCTTTGGGTATTTGGCAGTAAAAACGAGCCTCTTTGAAAAAAAAAGTCTGGGTTCATGAGAAGGTAAAAATGCCCACGTGCATATAAGTGTGTCTTAGGCATTGCATGTTCACTCCCCATCTTCCTTTCCGTGTGGTCTTGTGTTCTGGTGAGCACTTCGCCATGTACCGTGTTCAGGCTGCTGAGGTCGGTCGCGGTTGAAAGGGCTGCCTGTCCTGTCTTAATCGTCATCAGAAAGCCCCTCATGTGTTGGCGCCGTGACGCCCGAGCTGCACGCCTGTCCCTCTGGCCCTGCACCTGGTCCACGCGGTCACCTGGGGAGCAGGTGCACCGCAAGCTCCTGCCACCTCCCAGGCACTGCCCTGCCGGTCCCCGTCCCAGAGCGGCTGACCCACCAGCAGGAACGAGCCCCCTGGAATCCAGTGGTCAGCCTCCGACCCTGTGAGGCTGGCCCCGCCTCCTCTGGTCCCACCACCTGCCTTCCGCTGCGGACCTCTGCGCACCTCAGAAAGGTGCTGGTCGGAAGGGAAGACCTCTGCCCATGGAGAGCACCAGCCCCCGAGGGCCAGGTGGGGAGGTCCACTCTGCAGGTCTGTGTCTGTGTGTCTGTGTGTGTCTGTGTGTCTGTGTACAAAGGAAGCCAGGAAGTCGTGCTGTGAAAGGCCAGCAGGGGCTGTGCCAGTCTTCTGGAAAATCAGTGTACCTTGTCCCCACCTGGTGCTGGGGACGGCAGGGGAGGCACCACGAGGAAAGGCCCTTTGGTGTTGACTTGAAAACACTACCTTAAAGATTTTGAGCATTCCTCTGCTCTCACGAGGGCCCCTGCCCTATCTCCATGATGTGCATGGAGTACCGGCCGCCACTGGGAACGAGGCAGAGCAGTGGAGCAAAGTGGGGCAGGGAGGGACGGAGAGGGCAGCAGGGTGAGCCCCCTGGGCAGCCCTGCAGATGCAGGTGGCAGGGCCCCTGCAGACCGCCCTTCACCGTCTGTTTCGCAAACGTCCAGAACAGAAAACGTGCATCTCCAGGAACTGTGGGTCTGCAACATGCCCCGTGTGCCTCCCGGGAACTAAGATACCGTGGGGCCAGCGCTCAGACACACTGAGACGGGTACAGTCCCGCCTGAGAGCAAATGTGTGTGACACAGAGGCTCGCCAACTTGTTCGGCCTGGTGGGGCTGAGGTGCCGGGGGTGGGAGCCTGAACCGCGACCGTGGCTGTGGGTGGGGATCCATGGACAGTTGACTGGCAGGTGACCCCTGAGGACCTGCTCAGTGTGAACTGTTGCAGAGCCATGGGGATGATGGTCACTCTCCCCTCAGAGGACCTGAGGTAGAGACTCGGGGACCTGCCTAGGTGACCAGCCAAGCAGGCCAGGCCCCAGCCGGCTCCAGCGTCCGTGGGGAGGCCAGGGACTAGAGTCATCAGAGAGGACCGACATCCAAGCCGAGGACCAGCTTTTTGAACCGGGTGGAACTGTTTAGGTTCCTTAATTTAAATTTCATGACGTTTCCGTTTTAAACAACAGCAGCAACAACAACAGCAGCACCCTCTGCACAACAAAGAAAAAGCCACAGAAGTTTGAATGAGAAGCAGTAGAAGCAATACAGCCGGTGTCCTCTGTCGTCCCAGCCTGACGCATTCATCTCAGGCACTTTACGCATAAAAGTTTTTCTGCCCCTTAAAAAGAAAGGCGGGCAGTGCCGTGGGATAAGCAGGTCCCGGGATGTAATGCGCAGCCAGGCACTGGGCTTCACGGCACCGCGTGGCGTGGTTGAAAGTCGCTAAGAGACTCGGTGGGAAAAGTCCTGGTCTCCAGGAAAAGATGCGCTGTGCTGGACGAGCGAGCGGGTTCGCAGGTCGCCTTCGCCAGGTCGCGGGTTAAACGGGGCGCGGCCAGCTTCTCCCAGACTCACGCCTCGTTCCTTTTTGCTTGTTTCAAAACAGCTCGTGGAGTGTGACAAGGGAAGAAAAAGTAATTTTCATGGAGGACTATTTCTCCCTTAGAAGGGGAAGCCTCTTCCTTGTAATTGAGAACACTTTCATTTCCTTCCAAAATGTCAGGGAAACTGCCCCCGCTGATCTGGAGCTGAAGGGGCCCCCAGGGATGCAAGGCTCCTACTGAGCTCTGCTTACGCAGGAAGCAGAAGACACTGTTCTCTTGGGTTGTGGCGCTGACCACTTTCTGGAATTTTTTGGCCCACCCATGCCTGGGGGCCTTCTCGCTTCCTGCCTGCCTGCCCCCCTGTGGAGAGGGGCCGGGAGGGGCTGGGAGGGCCTGTGGGCTGGGCTGGGCTGGGCTGGGCTGGTCCCTGAGCCTGGTGGCGTGCGCGCGCGCGCGCGCGCACACACACACACACACACACACACACACACACACACACGGGAGGTGCTCAGATATTTGTGTTGCAAACCCGAAGATGCAAAGGAACGAAAACAACACTTGGTGCTTAACTTCAAGGAACTTAGAATTCAGAGGCGGCTCACTGAAAGCCTTCTTGGCTTCCTCGCTGGGCAGCCAGGGTCCGACCCGTGAGACAGTTCTCTCGGGAGCCTGCAGTGGCGGGAGACGCGGGCAGAGCTGGCGGGCATTACGCTGGCCTGCAGAGGCAGACAGAG